ATAATAATAATAATAATAATAATAATAATAATAATAATAATAATAATAAAGGCCCAGAGGGAACCAGCTAAAGCAAAAACAAAGCATGTCTTATTGTTAAAAGTTCTTGGTTGACGTCTTGAAGAACAGCATTGAAGCTCAGCAAGACTAAATAAGTAATGAAGCATGTGAAGGGAAAACAACAGTGGGAATATTACTTTGTAGTAAAATCACTTTTTTTATATACATATATATATATATATATCTGAAATAAAGTATAAAACATTTTTATTGGATTGTATAAAAACTGCCTGAGTGGACCTTAAAGCCCATTGTTTATATACCAAAACAAATGCACCAATGTGAAATAAAGAAAAGTTACAGTACACTTATTTTTCTTTTATTATTCCCAATTCTTATAGCTGCCAGCAGTGATAAACATACCCCTGTCCAGGATCAAGAGCGATGGCTCGAGGATGCTCCATGCCTCCTGCAATAAGTGTAGCGCGCATGTCTCCGTTCAGCTTGGCCACCTCAATTTGGTCCAAATTGCTGTCAATCCAGTACAGTTTTCCTGTAATCCAGTCCACAGCCAAACCCTCTGGGGTGGCCAGACCATGCTGCACAACCACCTCAATCGCTGTCACTCCTAAGACAATATTAGCAAGACAACAGCATGACCACATTGCACTGACATACAGTATGTTGAAGTCAAACCACAAGGGTGGCAAGTAAATGCAGTTTTTGAGAAATATATATTCTCAAGAATAAAGTACAAAAAAATGTACATTATCTATAGGGAAACTTTTTTATTTTATTTTACATTACTTCCTGCAAGGTTCCATTAAGCATAGAAAATGGATTTCCCTACTAAACTTATAATTTAACTGTATAAATGGATGTCTGGTCTTTTATGTATGTGTCACAAAAGATTGGAATGGGCACTGGCAATAGTTGATTGCTAGAGCTTTACGGAGGGAAGTAAATTTAAGAGAACTACCACCCACAAAAGCTTTGAGGCTACAAGAAGTTTAGATTCATGATTTTAGAAGGAGGAAATAGTGTACTATAAAAGCTTACTTCTAGCCCAGCAGTATTTTTCACTTTTTGTCAAGATAAAAATAAATAAAAAAATCAGTAATAGCCAACATCAGCCCAATTTTTCTGAACTAAGTACTATATGTGAAGACAACAGAAAAAAAAAAAAAAAAAAAAAAAAAAAAAAAAAAAAAAAAAAAAAAACATCCTTCTGAACATTTTAGGTATCCATTAAAGTGCTTCTATTAAAAAAAAAGAAAGTGCATTATAAATGACAATACTCAGTATACAGCACATTGGCACACACATACAGTATGTATCAAAGTATTACGTACACTGGTCTAGTGTTTGCTGAGTGTGTACATACCACCAGACTCTGAGAGTTTTCCTCTGTAGATCTTATCTTCCACCACATCAGTCCAGTACAAAAGGCTGTGGTTAAAATGAAAATCTAAAGCAATGGTGTTTCTCAGTCCTGGCACCAGCAGACTGTAGTCTCTTCTGTGAAGGTCTATTCGTCTTATCTCATGTCGGATTGAGAAAATGATGAAAGCTTCGAAAGGATCTAGTCAAGAAGACAAAAAAAGAATATATATATATATATATATATATATATATATATTTGTTTTACTGAACTGACAATGTGGAACTTCATCTACTTGAGATAGAGATTTTTTCACACAAATAACACACTGTTGTTGTCATCTGCAAAATACCTTGCCCCATTTTGATAGGTTAAACATGATGTGACCCAAATTATTGTCATAACAATGTTGTGCATTTTTAAAAACTACAAAAAAGGAAGTTAGAACTATGCAATATTTCCAGAAAATGACTGACTAAAAAAAATAATTGTGCTTTATTCACCTTACAATACATAAGCTATACCCAAATACACGCTTGCATGCTTTTCCAGCTTCTGCCATGTCCTTTATGCATATCAGTGTACAGTTGACCCTAAACAAATCTAAGTTGGAATTAATTAATGTAGCTTTTTGAAAATATTGATTCCATGCAATTTGTGATGAAAACTGGCAGTGAAATAAAAGAGACAGATGCATGATGTTTCACTCTGAAGCCAAACAGTTGGGCTAAAGAAGACTCCATCATATTGCCATTGAAGCCTTTATGTTTTGGTGTTATATATATATATACA